GAAGGCGCATAAATAGCCCTCAGGATGTGCCACAGCTGTGTGTGAGTGAGTGTGTGCACAGGTGTGTGGAGTCAAGGTAACGGAGTTCAGGATGGGCAACAGCTGTGTGTGTGAGTGTGAGTGTGTGCACAGGGATGGGAAATGGCGACCTCTGGTGGTGAGAGGGAGAACACCAGACGCCGGACCCTGACAACATTTACATGACATACATGTAACAGTAACAGTGTCTTTTGAACACTAGGGACCAAACCAATATTTGGGGGCAGGGGCATATCAATAATAATTTTTATTTAAATGTCCTTTTTTAAAAAAAATTTATTGAACATTTAAAGGGTATAATGAAAAACTGTAAAAGAAGTATTGTTTGTAAAATCAAGTTGAACTATTTGCAAATAATAGTTTTATTTTAAAATATGCACACATTCACTTTTAATCATATTCAATTATGAATTACATGAATCACACCTATATTTTATATGTTAAACAGAAAAACTTGACACATTTCTTTCATAAAACACTTGGCAAATATTAAATGTTTAGCTACTTAAATCTGGCACTCTTTCACTGTTAAAACTAAAGCGCTGGGATGCACACTCGGATTCTCTGAATTGATTGGCCATCTTAATCATTTTGGCATTGATGAGCGCTGTTACACCCCTGAGGCAGTTGATCCTAAAAATGTATTCCCTAAAACGTTGTCATCCTAACAACACACAGTGCAATGTGTAATGTACGTAGTACAGCAGACCAGCACCAGGAACAACAAACATGCCTTTCTCGACTAGAACACTGGAAATCAACTTTCATTCTGCTTTGTTCATAAAATATTAGATGTAGTCGGTGGAAAAGGATTATCCTGTCCTGTCCTCCCAGAAGACAAAATAATTACTGTTTGCACAGGTCATCTTGTTGAAAAGTATACATCACTTAGCTTTTAAAGGTTCATGAAATCCTGTGTTTCAGCACTGATTAGTTCCCACCGCAGTTTTTAAAAATACTAAGTGGATGTGGTAAGCTGTGAAGTGGAGGGGGAAGAGGCGAGACAGACAGCACAACAAAGACTTCTGAGATAGTCAGTTTAATTTTGCGCTCACTGAGTTGAAAGCATCAATGGTTTCCACAAATGCACACTACAGTTCACTCTTTCACAGAACAAAATGAACAAATAAATATGGTATGTAAGCTCAATGTACATTACACAAATACACATATAAAGGATATAATTTAATGCACAAATAAATGCATATGCATGATAAATATCTTGCAGAAATCTGTTCTGTTCTAGTACTCTCTGATCATAGAAAAAATAACTAGCTTTGTTTGCCCTTAGCATGTCATCCTTAGACTTGTCACAATGTTGTAATCAAAAGGCATTTTTCTGTTTAGAGATCGTGTGTGAACAGGACCAGTTTTTGAAATGCTGGCAAATCAGCTGCAGCATTTGCTGGCTTAAGTAGTAGTAACTTTGCAGGAAAAGTTCACCGTTGTTGCAGTGTGTGCCACTGCAGTTGGTCATAAGATTAACTACATTGTGGACAGCTATGTCATTTACTGTAAATTTTTGAACAGTTTGTACAATTTGATGACATCACAGTTTCAACAACATTTATATTACATTTACATTTAATCATTTAGCAGACGCTTTTATCCAAAGCAACTTACAAATGAGGTAAAAAGAAGCAATCTGTAATCATTTTTGCTCTGATTTGTGAATGGCAGACATCCCACCTCTCCTGGAGTGTCCCGCATATTGATAGCGGCTCCCTGACACCCACAAATTCTATACAAAATCCCAGAAATTGAGTGAGAGAGAGAAACCCTGTTTCCAGAATATTCAAGGTCATTTTTGGTGATTTAATCACACAGTGGACAGGGACCTAAAAAGGAGGATTCGGAAGATCCCAGGAGTTCCCATCATGTACATTTCCAATCACAGGTACTCAAGCTCAATTCGCTAAGTCTCGCCTTAATGTTACTGAGGAGGGGCTCTAGTGAGTACAAGTGAAAAAGCCTAGGTTATGTGCAAACGTCAGAAATTGAATAAAGCCTACTGGTAAATGTGTGTCCAGGTATGTCCAATCCTGCTCTTGAAGGAACACCATTTTGAAGAGTTTTTAGTAGGGATGCACGGTATCGGTATCGGGCCCGATACTGGTCTCCTGTACTCGTACTCTCGGGCGAGTACTGGAAAATGGTGGTATCGGTGCATCCCTAGTTTTTAGGTGTGTTTGACTCCGGCTGTAGCTGGATTTTAACGTTTGGTGAGACTTGCTGCTTGCAGTCAGGAGAGGAGTTGAAAATGGAGACATGAAGTCGGACACTTTCCGCTTCCTGTAGTGATGCTCTGCCAGTGTTTGCGTACTTTAAAAAAAAAAAAAAATTTTTATGATCAACATTTTTATTCAGATTTAGTTTCACATCAGAAACATATATCACAATTCACAGTTCCAGAGAACTATGAACAACAAGATGCCATGAAGCTGTCCACTTGTACCAAAGGAGAGGAAGAAAAATAAAAGAAATAAAATTCAGATATGCATAGCAGTAATGTCAACTTTCCAGCCTATCTAGCAACATCACAGCAATATTTGCCCAACTCCGAATAGTGGGCAGTGTTTGCGTACTTTTTCACAGATTAAATGGATTAGGTGCAATATTTGTAAAATACACAGACGTTTTGGATGTTTTCATGTAGCAGCAAATACTATTCGTTGAAAAATATAAGCACTGCTTAATACGGCACCTATATAAAGATGAATAAAATAACATAGGCCAATACTATTAAAATAACATCAAAATGCCAAATTATTTTAATTATATTTTTACAATAGGGATACATGAAATTAATTAGTACTATTATAAAAACACAGATTTGTGAGCATTACCGGAAATGAAGGTGTCAGAATGACATGAAATATGATCGTTGTAATGATGAGTCTGGCCAATGGTATAACAGCTGTATTGTTATCAGAGCGTCCAACCACTCTGGAGAAGCTGCACAGATTGAGCCAGCCAACTGGTCTCAAATCACTCTCACTGGACTTTGATGGCATATGTTTCAGTGACATAGCATCACCACCGTTTCATGTCGGACAAAATTTCTAACTGGCGTGCATTGCTTCAAGTCACACCGATCGGTCTGTGCAGCGCCGAATCAAGTCAAACACACCTATTGTCATTACAGGAGATTCTATAAAGATTTTCTGACTGAGTAACCGTAATCAAGTGTGGTGTAGCTTTACTGAATGGCTCAATTTAGACTTGTATATGTATGTGTGTGTATTTCTATATGAATTTATATTATGTATATTTTTGTATTTATTGTAACAGAAGAAAATGATCTTGTCACCTATGTAAATTAATAAAACTTATAATGTTTTTTACAGGTATAACATTGAGAGAATGCCAGACGATTATGGTGCACCACGGTTGTAGAACACAGATGTTTGTGTTTTTTTGTTTTTTTTGTTATAAGAATTTGTTTGGTGGAAATCCCCCACCTTCTACCTTTAAATGATTTCCCTTGTGAATATTGTTCAGAACTCAGTACAATAAAGTTTTTGGCAGCCCAGATTCCCAGCAGCTCAGAGTACATTAGAGGAAATTAAAAGGAGGGGGAAATAGGAAGAAAATTATCTGCAACCAATGGAAACGAGTCCAAATCTAGTGGCTATTGTTGGGAACTTCAGTGATCTAGGATCTCCTCTTATTGATATTAATGTGTTATTGATTTAAATTATTTGGTGTCTCCCAACAATAATATTGATTTAATCAAACACATTAAATTGGCCAAGTAGCCTTTAACTATTACAGTATGTTAACAGCTCAACAATGCAGTGTTAAAAAATAATGAACATTTCCCGTGAAGCCACTCCCTGGTACTCTTATATGTCCGTTTAGGATCTTAGGATTTATTTGCTGACCACATTCTTTTGTCTTTATCTTAATGACATCTCTGTCAGTTGTTTACACATCTGGTTGGATTCCATCTGCTTGGAGGCTGTCGTAAATAAAAATCACCATTGATAGACGAGTTATCAGTATCCTTGTTTATTTCAAATTATTGTTGTTTGTCAATTATTATTGTTAATTATTGTTAGCTTCATGTGGCTAAAACCATATTTACATTGTGCAGGCCTACACAGGATGATTTGAATGCAATTAATTTTAAAATGGGCTACTGTATTCTGACAATGTTCAGCTAGCTATATATATATATATATATTGAGCATTGTTATAAATACTTGTAAGAACTGAGCATGTGGTGTTAAGCGATGTCAAGAAGTGCGAAGAATGGGACTGGTTCTCAATCATGATCATGGCAGTCACACAAAACAAATGTCACATTTCTCATGTTTCAGGGTTGTTGCAGGTCTTAATTCACCCTTTTGTAAATTCTGACCTTAAAAGGTATTAAATTGGAGCAGAAAGTTTTAAGTCATGGAATTAAATTGCATGAGGGATTGTTTTCTTGCGTTTCATTTTTAAATGAAGAGAAGGCGTAATATCTCTGTGGCTTAGTGGCTGTATGTGCTGATTTGTCTATCAGTAACCTGTAGATTAGAAGAACCTGATGAACGTGCAGATGCACCTTTTCTGAATCTTGCCGTTTAGAGAAGTAGTTAGATTGGGGAAATATTTGTTCCAGCCTAAATGTCTTCAAAAGAAAAAAACTAATTGAGTGAGTTTGTTGATTTTGACTGTAGTTTGTGGTCACTTCCATTATTAATGACAACAAATAGTTTGTAAGAACTGCTGTTTCAATTTCATATTTGTATAAGAATACTTGCATACTCGCAAAATGCATTTGCAGTGCTCGTTTTATCAGTTTTGTTCATGTTTAGTAAATGGTTTGCCACCTGAAAAAAAATGATGTAGGATTTACTTAGAAACAATTTTTTGCATTTTTCAAATAATTATAAAGGAATGATGGAATTAAACATCAAATTTTGAAAGATTAAAATAGTTTTTCTTTTAAACTGCATGTATTTCATTCCATAGCTCAAGTGAAATGGCAGTGTCATAAAGTTTAATAGCTTATGGGTCTGATCAGAAAGTACAGAAGTTAGTGGTTAGGAGCAAAGAAACCATCTTTTTTGTAAAACGATTTAAAAAGCAATGGCGATTTGTTGAAAGTTGTTTTTCATCATGCTCCCTAGGCAAAATGTTGATGTATTGTGTTCACTTCAATTTATTCTATAAAGTTTCTTTACTTGGTCTTAAAAAAGGACTTTGTACACTGCCTCTTTTAATTGGAGAATGTAAAAGGAAGCAGAACAATAAATTGACAAAGTTATACAAAATCTAGACCAAAGGCTTCAAATAAACTGCAGTGTTGAAAATACGGTAGCATAAAATAGCATTTTTGAGAATATGTCTGCATGTTGCCATTGTCATTTCCTACAGTCTCAGTTTGTTATTTATGTGACATACTCCTCTCCATCTGGCATTGAAAATATCTCATTACCTTTGCATCAGGCATGAAACGGCACAATCCAAACCAAGGTCTTTTGGATTTGCTGCAGATGGAAAGATTGAGAGATAGTGAAGGCAAAGCAAACATTCAACCTTGACACTTGATACGGTGTGATTATAGAAGAGATTAAGGACGGCATTAATTACAGTTTAATTTATGTGTTAGTAAATCATGTAACAATCTGAATGTTTGAATTAAAAAAAACAACAACAGCAAACAAACAAATGTGTTCTGTACAAGATGTGTTTTTTCAATCAACAATGTAAACGATACAAGTCAGAGATCTCAAAGATAAAATACTGTTAATTGAAACTACAGTACATATTCAGTTCTTTTCTTCATTTACCTAATGGATTACAAGGTCAGCAAGGGAACGGTCACACACTCGGTCACGCGCACACACACACACACACACAAACGGGGCAGACGTAAGCAAGGTATAAAAGCTATGCCTGTTTCTGAGAAGAGAGATTAATCACATCTTGCAGGAAGTCAAGAACAAAGGTAATTTTTCAAATGAAATATTTGTGAGCTTAAAGAATACATTTAAAATGTACAAATGTAGCAAATTCTGAGAAGAATGATCCGTGTATGTATTTGATGTATTTTGAAAATATGAGTCCAGTTCTGTAAAGTATGTTCTATTTTAGTTTTTTTTTTTTCCTTTTTCGCTTCTATTATAGCCACCATGTTTTGGACAAGATATGCTGGAGCAAGTATATTATTTTTTTTAATGCTTATTCATCTTGGACAACTGTATCCAAGAAATGATATGAATAACTGTAAGTTAATAACCAATTACTACATTTTAATACTTCATATGGGATCTTTTCCTTTACTATTATTTTTTATTTTATACAAGTTGGATGTGAGGAGTGCAAACTCAAAGAGAACAACATTTTCTCAAAACCTGGAGCTCCTGTCTATCAGTGTATGGGATGCTGTTTTTCTAGGGCTTACCCCACGCCCCTGAGGTCTAAGAAAACCATGCTTGTTCCAAAAAATATCACATCAGAAGCTACATGCTGTGTAGCCAAAGAAGTTAAACGGGTAAAATGTGCACTGCTATTGCTATAATATTGTTTTTCATTATATTATTATTTTACTCAAATGTATATAGGCCTAACGAAATTGTTTTTGTATTTGTTTGTAGGTGCTTGTCAATGATGTCAAACTAGTGAACCACACAGACTGCCACTGCAGCACCTGTTACTATCATAAGTCTTAAAAAATATTGTGACATTCAAGATTTGCTTGTGTTTGCCTAAAACTAGTTATATTCCCGTCTACCTGTCATTTTATGCCAATTATAAGAATTTTGTTTGTTGTGCATATTTACTTTTCTACCATGCACTTTTCTTCTATAATTGTCAAAGCTGGGTGGTTTTTCCACCACTTCTTTTCCAAAAGGTTGCCATCATTATTGTAACCAACATCTAAAGAGCACAGAATGTGATATTTTATCATTAATAAAAATCAAAGAAAACATCATCACTGCACTCTGCTTGATGTTAGTTTAAGCCCTCTTTTATTGGTAATTGCTCACTTATTTTGTCATCTTGCTGTTGTAAGATCAAATCCATAACTTAAATAAAAAATATGATTGCTTGTGACATAGCTTTTGTGTTTCTTTTTTTCTCCATTGTTATACCTGCTTTATCCTTTGCATGGATCGAGGGTGACTGAAATTCCTACACACAAATAAAAGTTTAAAAGTGGGTTTTCATTGAAGCCATAGAAGAACCATTTTGGAAGAAGAATTTTCAGTAAATACTTATAAGAACCTTTTGTTTCCCTCAGTGTGAAGAACATTTTAATCAAAACCCATGAAAAAGACTTCAGCCTGATGCCATACTGTAACAAACTCCCACACATGCTGAGAGAAACTCAGCAAATGCAAACCTGGTTTGTGATGTCCTGTAATGATAAAAGATTAACCAGTGCAACAGGATCACCAAACACACAATAACATCAACACATTTAAATAAGAAACCAAACCATTGTGTACATTTTCCTTTTCATTATTCTTATCAAAACTGTAAATGTGTGTATATGTGTACCTCTGTAATTTAATGTTACCAATGTAAAGCCTTTTTTACCATGCCAACAAAGCCACTTGAATCTAATAAGACGAATACACTTAGCAAAAACAATATTTTCTCAAGGTTTTTTCTTTTAAATCGTTTCTTTTATATGACGGAACCGATTGTGTGTGTGTGTGTGTGTGTAGGGCCGTGCACAGACATTTTGACGGGCAGTGGCCCAAACCAAAAAAGGGGCACTAGGGGGGTGGGTGCTTGTTAATACAAATGATCCAGTTGTTACAAATATACAATTAAAAGAGAAGACAGCACACTCTGTAGTAATTTCAGACTTTATTGTAGATGTTTTGATAAGAATGGGCTCTCCCTCACTCTCTGAGCCTGCTTCTGCCTCATCTTCAATGGAAGTAGGGGAGAGTGGGGTAAGTTGAGCCAGTGGGTAAGTTTACCCACCCCCTGTTTCTTGGCAACTGTACACTTTTACTGTCATGTGACCATGTATTTTGGACCCACCAATCATTTCTGCCAGACTGTGAAAAGGAGAAACACATGGGGGGATGGAAGGCACCCATTTACTTTAAAAACTGTT